CTCTCTGTCTCTCGTCTTTCCGTCTCTCTTCTCTCTCTTCTCTCGCAGGAGGATCCGGGCAAAGAGCCACATATAAAGGACTCTTCACCCCTGCCTCCAAAAAGAGCGCCGTGCTTTTTCCTACCTCGCTGCCCTCCACTTTCCCATTCTGGAGCGCTAGCTTTCGCCCCCCCCTTGGCCTCAAGTTTACAGGATGTCGGGGCGCTGGGAAATAGTTCTAGCCGCAGGTTTGTAGAGCCTGCTGCACCAGTTTTGGGTTGTGGAACGTGTGTTGCTCAGAATCTCAATGTTTAATATGCCACAAAAAATAAACGCGTCGTAACTCCGGCGCAATGTCCCATAATTCCGGCGCAATGTCCCGTAAATCCGGCGTCATTTCTCGTACTCCGGCGTAATTTTCCAGACTCAGTCTTTGGAAGGCTTTGAATCTTGAAGGTTTTGACTGGAACCATGAGTTCTGCTACGTTTTTTAGGGGGTCGAAGTCTTGAGGCAAAAAAAAGTCCTGGAGAGCAACCCACTTTGTAAAAGAGCTGTAGAGACACGGTTGCAGAGAAAGAAGGGTTCCTTGCCACATACTCCTTGGTTTGTTTTTGGACATCTTTGCTTGGGCACAAGTTTGCTTATATTTTGTGAAGGTTCTGCTCTTAGGCATTTCGGAAGATGGGCGAGGGAAATGGGAACTGGAAGGCTCCAGTGATTGGGTTGTGGAATGAGTGTGTTCCAGAAAAACTATACTCATGGCGCAAAGGCAGTTTGCTTGTGTATGATCCAACCTTTCATCATCTCTGTTTATGTTCAAAACCTTGGATCCGGCTGTCTTTTTCCAGGTTTTCGGCGTTTTTCGGAATCCGGCGGAAAATTTTGCCGGATTGCGGTCCGGCACTCTTTTTTTGCCTAAAGGAGGATCCCAAGACCTAGAGGAACCGTTGGCAGAAATTCTTGCCGAGACGCCAATGTGCCCTGATTTCAGCCAAATTCATCGAAAAGCGCCGAGTCCAACAAAAAACACCGAGGAATATGAAAACTGCCGACTTTAATGGTTTTCACTTGCTAGATTCTCAAACCAGCACTTGAGAGATCTTGCCAGTCTTACCAAGCCCTTCCCAGCCCTTTCCCAAACCAAGCCACAGGGTGACCATCCACAGTTTGGGCTTACATGTGAGGACCGAGGGATTGGCATCCACAGTTTGGATACCTTGGAATCCTTGCACCTGGGGACAGAGATATTTAATCCACAGTTTGGGAGTGCTTACAAAGAATACACTCAAAAGTGATCCAACAATGTTTGTTTAAGTCTATGCGCCTTGGAGGGGTTTTCCGGACCTCCTTGATATCGCCCCTACTGTTTTCTTGAAAGGCTAATCCAGGCAAGCCAAGTTCTGTCTTTGCTTCTCCGGATCACTCTCCAAAGAATGCTTTACCCTTTCATGATCCAACCTCCCTTGACAAGGGTGGTGGTAGAACAGCTGCAATCCACAATTGGGTCATTAAAAAGATCTTTCCAGTGCAGCCATCCAAGATGTTGATTCACACATAGGAACCCCAACAAAGCAAAAACATGGTTACGGACAATTGCGCCGAATTGTCGGGGAATTACGCCAAACTGTCGGAGATTTACGCCGAATTATCGGGCAATTACGCCGAGATCTAGGGATGACAAAACGATTGAAAACTGTGAACAACTTGGCTGAGACATGCTGAGACGATTTCACGCAAGGGTGCCCGATCCAATTGGTTCACGGTGAGTTTATGTTGAATTATGCATGGTCAATGCACAGTCTTCTAACTTTCACCTTGGTGATGGAATTAAATCTCTCCATTCACCGGGTATGTTCAGCAGCTTTGTGCCACTGTAATGGGAAATCAGGGCAGAAGGTTGCATCGGGCCACAGAAACCATTTAAGCATTTCCCCCGGGCCTTCTCATTTCTGTGATTTTAATAAACGGTTTCCTTGATCGGATCCATGGCTGGATTTGAGTGTTACAATGAATCCGTAAGCCAACTATGCTTGGCAAGAGTTAGGAACTACTGAAGAAAAACACTGGGCGTGAACAGCCAGGGCGCACCTCAAGAATGCCCGGTTCACCAGGTATTTGAACCCTAGAGGATTGTCGAGCCGAGTTATCAATATTATTTTGTAATTCAGGTTGTTCTGCATCGAATAAACCAATTAATGTGTTCAAGGACCTCAAAAACCAAAAGCGCCGAGTCTATCTTAGTTTTAGCTAATTACGCCAAATGCCCCTTTTCAGGGCAAATTACGGGTAAAGGCGCTTTTTGCTGAGGTGGCAGAAATTTTGGTGCACTTGGAGTCTCTAGGTATATACCACCCGCACTCCGTGGTCCCTGGTGCTGATCATGTTTGGGCGTCGCTTCGGTGTCCCAACCCCGCTCATTGGTTGCACCGACGGTGTTGACTGAACACCCCGGTCTTCGCAGGAAGCAAGACCGCCTCCGCCAAGTATAGGCCAATTTTGCAGGATGCCACTTGGAGTGGTTTAAGTCTTCTAATAAAGCAGGGAAGGAGAAACAAACAGAAAAACGTTTTCTCACCAGCACGACAGTGAGACACAAAGCTTCACAGCACCTCAGCAGCCACAGACAAGCTGTGATCAGTTCTTAAACGTGAGACGTCCGGTCAGATCCATTGGGCAACCTATTGGAAGCGCTAGGTAGATGATACATTTATGGATGCACTGCCACTTGCGGTCCTCCAGTTGAGTTTCTTGATTGCTCAACGCATCTCAACGCCGCAACGCGCGGTACTTGTAATGAAGACCATTAAAACATCGTATTATGCATCGCAGCATTTGTGACTTCAGAACCTTCAGAAACCTCCACATCCCGCTGAAACGAAGACGGCAAAAGAAGAACTGGAATGGAATGGTTCCATTATGTTCCATTCATGAGATCATTTTCATGGGGACTATGTGCAGTAACTAGTAACTAGATTTGGTAACTTCGTACTTCAACACCCCTCCTGCTTCATCACCATCCCCACGTGTTACCACGCCTGGCAGGCCAAGAAGGCCTGGGAATCCATCATCCGCGGCCGGTCGCTGAACGCGCCGCCGCGTGCGGGGACGAGCCTGACGATTCAGCACCTCGGTGCCTGGAGACGTGGGTGAAAAGGGAACGAGAGGGAACCATTTAAGGTAGACCTACATGAACCCTACACCTCCAAATGCCTCCTCAGAAGGTATGACTGGACCCTCCTGTTACCCACCCCAAACCTTGCAAATCTCTTCAAGAAAAATCAACTCTTATCAGTTATAGTTGTTTCAAGAAAGGAAGTCTGCCTCTGCACTTTGCAACGCATAAACGGTGTTTTGCTGGGCTCTGGGCATGGAAGGCAACAAAATGGCTGCCATCTCCTCAAGCTCAGTGAAGCCAATAGAACGAAACCCAAATCACCAGGGTCCACCTTCTCAGAAGGTACATGGAGGCCTAGGGGAAGTGGTCCCAACCCGCTTTTGGGGTCATTGCTCATATCATTGTGAAGCGATATTCCTCCTTGTGTTCTCTTCTGGACCGCCAGGTATGCTTTTCCGAGCGCGAAGGAATTCAGCAAGAAGTATTGCAGCTGCAACGCTTGCTGTAACAACATGGCCGGTTCCTCCGGCCCAATGGTGTTCTTCCAAGCAGACCCTGGACTCTCAGGACTTCGAGGCCCCTTAATTGAACGTCACTCCCTGAGAATCCGGCCCCAAAGCATAGGGCATTTAGTTCGGGTCCAAATCCCACGTCAGGGCACGGGCTCGGATTCTTAGGGCTGTCGGCCCTGTCGGCTGTTTGAACTCTTTTTTTCTCACTGGATTCATCCAGACTGTGGGTTCAAACTCCTCCCCCCACTCTGTGGGAGCCCTCAGAATTCACATGAATTGGACACCATGAGTGGTCGACCGTCTCTGTTTTGGTTTCGGAATTGGTCAGTGATCCAGCGGACCCATACTCCTGAGGAGTGGTCAGCACAGCTGAAATGGTGTTCAACACCAAGAAGCTGAACAAGTACCGCGGGAAGATCGCTTTCATCCGAGCGCTTTTTTTGCGTGAGATTGGAGTGGCGCTGGGCATTGGCTCCACTTGGAAGTATTTGGGCATTGCATACAAGGACCCAAAGAAGCGCAACACCCTGAAGAATCTCTATGCGAACACTGACGATGTCGCCGGTGGGCTATATTGGTCCTCCAATTTCGGGATGACGCATGGTGTCGTGGAGCTCGACAAGACCACGCGCCAGATGCCTCTTCCGAAGCCCATCCCTCGGTGCTGCGGATATGCTCAGGATGTGATGAAGGTGAGGGAGAAAGAAGATGAAAGAACCCTAGGCCTCCAAGTATCTTCTGAGAAGGTGTTTGGGGATTTTGGGGTGTGTTTGGAGGGTCCAGTCATACCTTCTGAGGAGGCACTTGGAGGTGTAGGGGAAGATGAGGAAAAAAAGCATTGAAGCCAGCAGTTCCAAAGGGCTGACTCATCACATCTTCTGGGGGTGTTTGGATGGGATGCCCCTTCCCATCCGGATGGATCCAGATGGGAACGAAGCAAAAGCCAACCAAATGGAACTGGAAAGGCCGGGACACTCACACCCTTCAGTCTCATCATCGGCCCCAGGTTCGGATGACCGTTTGGAGCGAAAGACCAAGCAGGTGGTGAACTCCACTTCCATGATCTTCCATGATTATTCTTGGGGAGTGTGGGTAGGCAAAGGACCACAACATTGGCTCATGAGCTGCCCCTGAGCGGTTTTCATTGTTCGACATCCTCTCATGCTTCGGCCGCGAACTGGAGGCCAGCTTGGAATCTGCCACCGTGATTGGCCCACAGAGTGTTGGCCACATAGAAACTGCCAGAGCAATCGCTTTATGGTGTTTCTTCGTTTGGACCACCTCAACTTAGGTCCACACTGGGCAAAAACCCAACCAAGTGATCCCATTGACATGTTTGCCTCATAGGTCGTCAGTACTGTTGCGGAGCAAGGTACATCTTGCGCATATGCCTCACTAGCTTTGATCTGAATTTGCTAGTGATTTGCTCACCAAGCTTGCCCGGTGGTTTTGATTTACTTTCCTGGTTAAAGTGACCTTTTTGACCCCTTGGTTTGAGGTGGGGTTCCATATATGTGGCCATGACATGTGATGATACCTCAACTCGCCACACTGCTTTTAATGCCACTGCCACTTCGATGTGAACGACTGTCAATAGAGCATTTGGTTGTGGTGCAAATGCTTTGCCTCTACGGGCTCCAATCTGCGAACATGTTTGTATATAGATGATCCATGCTGTTCGTTGCTTTGTATCCAAGGCTTCTTGAATGCCTTGGGGTACACCATCGACTACCAAAACGCCAACCAGCCACTGTTCGTTTCGGTGCCTTGTGATGGATGCGATGCGGAGCCACAGCTCTTCAAGCCCAACATGTTGGTCAAGGAGCGGTCGAAGCGGTCGAAGGCGGTCATCGGACTCGGATGTGAGAACCCATCGAAGCAGGCGTTCTGAAATGGGCAACGAAAGTGGTTGATGAACCCCAAAGAAAGGTGGAAAACCGAAAAGCACGACGCCGCGAAACGAGGCCAGTGGCATGCATCGCCCTGGCATGCACCAGTGTTGCGTCACAGGATCGGGGAGGCAAGACGATCGCGAACGTCAAGGGAGTTGGCAAGAAGAGCTCCCTTTTGGCCGTGTCGGAAGGCGTCGAAGGATCAGGTGCGGCGCGCGCGCGAGAAACATGATAGATCAGTTGCGTCAGTTGGTTCAGCTACCCCACCTGCAGACTTATATGGACCCTGAAAGGTATCCCGGTGGAAAGCAGTGCGCTACAACCCAGTGGTTTTGACCGTCGTCAATCTGCAGGGTACCTTCTGTTTTCCGCCCACGCGAAATTCTGGACTGCAGTTGGGTTATAAGCGCTTCCCGGGATTTTTGTTGGGGACGGGTTGCGTGATGCACTCACCCGTCTAGATAGTCCCGAGTCATTCAGAGTTGCCAGAAAGCAACGGCTGGAGCTACCTGCCCGGTACTTGTGAGAAAAACATTGTGACAGATGATTTTCCTTCAGAATTTATAAAGCGTATAAAGTATATATACAGATGCATTCCATGAAGTACTGCTTGGATTTCATTTTCATGTCCTTTTTGCACTGGCGCCACGCCTGGCGCCCTCCGCCCCCCGTGCAGGCTTGGACTCCGTCTCTGCTCGACCGGCAGGAAGGCCGTGCACGCGCGACGAGGATTGCAGCGGTGTTTGCGTGACCAGCATGGTGGGGTTCCTTGAGGCGAAGGTGAGGTCGACTCGGCGCCGACGTGGGGGCCGGTGGGTTCGCTGGTGGGATGGATACTGGGTGGCTTTAGATGGGCACTTAGATGGTAGGGGTAGGGGGAAGGTCAGAAAGGCAAAACCAGGTGGGCAGCTGAAAAAGCCAATGACTTGGTTTTCACCGTCGAGAAGTGTGGGGTGATGTTGCCCCTGGATGTTCCCGTTCGGTTTGAAATCGATGTTCCAACCCTGCCAGGGTTACAATCTCTACGATGAAGGCATCAGAGGTTTCGCATCGAAAGTGTGCAAGCCGAAGCATCATGACTTCGACATCGACGCCCGACAGTTGCTGGTACACCTTTTTTGCACATGGACACCTGCAACGACAAACGGTCAAGAGAAAGTGTCATAGATCGTCATCCATTGTCCACATAGTGTGTGTGTGTGAATGTCATGTTCGTTTCCCTCTCATGGTATTCTTCCAAATGTTGATTACAAACTAAACAATGTATATAATTAGATGGAGCATGATGGAGCATGATGGTGTCATTTCTTTCACGTGTCACATTTGTCGGGATGGCATGGCACAATGCTGTGCCACATGGTCATGGCACTTTCGGCCCTGTCATCCGACCTCGCGCTAAGGTCCTAGATCCCGTCAATTCCAGGCCGGACTATGATTACATTTATGAGGAGGCGCGTCAGAAGTGGCTGAGCATCATTCGCGGCATCGCCAGACCGATCAGATACGACGTGAATCCAGTGAACCTGGTCATTGAAACCGCCTGGTTCGTCGCCTCCAGCGACATCATAGGCGGGACACCGCGTGCGACCACATTGAGTTTGGTCCGAGACGGCGCAAAAGCTTTTTCCTTTCGCACTTACTGGATCCTTTGGATCCTTGGTCCGTCAGGGGCGCAAAACCATCCAAATCCATGAAGATATATTTTGTAGATCATGTTGCAGGTCACGTCGGGTCAAGAAGACGCAGTGGAGTTTCCGCTACTCATTGAATGTGAAGAACATGAAAATAGGTTTACACTCCGACTCACTATCATGGAAGTGGATGGTCCGGCCTCACAGGTAGGATCACTCCATGGCCAAAGCTCCTAAAGCACGGTTTTCTTGGCTTGTGAAATGTAGGAGATGAGGGATGGTCAATTACGGTGAGAATTGTTTGCGAATTGTTTGCGACAAGAGAGAGAGAGAGAGAGAGAGAATTTTTTCAGTATTACAGTAACAGGTGGCGGGGCTTAGAAGAAACGTATGTTAATTGTGTTGGGTTTGTCCCGTTACCTGTAACAGTCAGTAAACAAGTACCACTCTTTTGGAACAAGGCCTGCAGCCTAACCATCACCATCCATTGCACTGGTAATCGGAAAGACCCAACTGTTTCCAGTCTTCTGCCCAAGCTTGTTTCGTTTGCGGAAGCGACGTTGCCCCATCTCTCCCACCCTGTTCAGCTTATAGCGGGCCCACCGAAGCACACTTCGTGGACTCGGCGGATGGCAGCTATTGGATACCGAAGAAGGGCATCCTGCAATTCAACCTGGACTTCCTTTTGAACGACCGGATGTCTTTGAAGCAGTTCAAGGTGCCCAATGCTCAATGGCAGCCCTTTTGGTATGATGAGGGGTGACAAACAAACACAATATAGATTCTTCCAGCGACCAAATGCCCTTTGTTCGCTGGAGCTTCTTTTTCAACCGCAGTGGGGACTCAGACAGTCCATGGATGTTTGACCTACGATCCTATGCCATACACCCTGCTTTCGAGACCCACATGGAACCTGAAAACCACGTCGGGTTGTAGAGGAAAATCGTCTTCCAAAGGTCTATGCCATCAGGTTCCATGTTAAATCTTCCCGGAGTGTTTGGGTCATATTGAGTTACAATCACTTTTACCGACTCCAAGGACCATCCCCGACCATGTCTCATCTGTCAGTGCTGTCACGACACTTCTACTTCGCCAGCAGTAAGAACCCACCTTACCCTGATTTACCCTGACGGATATGCCGCCTCGCCACACCAGCAAAAGGCAACACAGTACAAAACCCCTCACCACCAAATCAAACAGCGGAATTTGCAACTTTACAATCATCAGTGGTGTGTGGATGTCAACATGTTCAACCACCTTCACATGGCCGATGTTGTTTTCTTCGTGTCAAGGTTGCACTTAAAGACAAATTCCTCATGCCCCTTTTGCACTTCAAAAAGATTCCCGCGCTCAAATACAAATTCCTCGTGGTCCGCTCTACACAATACAAATTAATCATGGTCCGTTCTGCACTTGTTTAAACGTTTTCCATGCCCGTTTTTCAGCTCAAAAAGTCTTAATGTCCAGCTTGCACTGAATCGCAAATTCCTCATGTCCGTTTTTCCCTTCCAACGGTTTGCCACACCCGTTTTGCAACTCATTCTTTCAAATAGCTTTGCACTTAGTAACAGGTTCCTCAAAGATTGCCCATGCGCGTTGTCCAGCTCAAAAAAGTCCTCATGTCCAGTTTGTACTGTCCTGTTTGCACTTCAAACGCTTTTGCATGCCTGTTTTGCAGCTCAAGCAAAATCCTCATGTCCAGTGTGCACATTAGATCCCATTTTCCATATACTATGTCCGTGTACACACATCTCATATCTCACAGAATGCATGTTCTAAATGTCTAATATGTTTTGTCCTCATGAGGCCATGCCATCGCATGTTTTACCTGTTTTTTTATTCAGTTCTGAGGCATATGTCTTGCAGCAGATGGGGAAGGTGCTTCTCATTGGCCTATGGGATCTCTTGACCACGAGCGCTCAATGTATGGAACCCGACCGCTTCACGGATGCCTACCTAGATGGCGGAGGCAATGTCAGAACGGGTCTTGTGTGAAGACACTGCATAAAGCATTCAACACATTCTTTTGATGCATTTCAAGACACAGCTAAAGGCCAAAACCATCAAACACCATTCTGATTCTGACAATTTTTTGTAGCACACCTTTGCTGTTCTGTGGGAGTGGGCCACTGGCATGTCGTAATCCATGACCAACAAGGTAGAGAATAACTGAAGAGGCTTGTGCAGGTATGAGAGAGCATGCGCCTCCAGGACCATTTCTCATTGCTTGAAAAAAACAGTGGAAAAAAAGAACAACGCACGAAGGCAAAGCCGCTATGGCGCACTATATCCTCTCCCAGCAATGGAGCAAGGAACCCAAGAGGCCGCTGCGTTTGTATCGGACTACGGATCTGATAGGTGCACGGCGTCGGGCGCATCGTTGACGGGTCTGGATGTGCAGCGTTTGGGTGCGTGTTCTCCCCACAGGATCATGCTGCTCCTGATGTTTGATCCATGTGCTACTTTCTGAAATACCTACGCGATAGTGCCCACATGTATATCTATACAATATCTTCTGGCAGTAGTTACAATCGACAACCCAAGTGGGTCTTCAACAGCAGTGGAGCCGAGGGCCCCTTGCCTGCCACCCACACCACTTTCGCGACGAAGATCTTCCGATCACCGTGGCCAAGTGGTTGCAGCAAGGTAAAGAAGGTCACGAAGACCCAATCGGAGCAGTCCCAGAATTCGATCGAATTCGTTTTTTTTGGGGGGGGCCATCACCCGATAAGAATCCGGGGCCCCGGGGCCCGAAGGGAGCCCATACCTGGAACTTCGTTACGGCAATAATTGCCGTTTTCATGAAACGTCGCCTTTTTCCGTTCTGCGGCGTTCTTCTATATTGATCTCAGGTTGACGGCGTTTCTTGATGAACTGCGGCAGTTTCGGTCAGTTGACGGCAATTTTGGTCCACACATCCATGCGCCTCAAAGAGTCATTTCCTTTTAGTGCAGGCGAGTATGAAGACATTGTAGAGTCTTGCTTGAAAGGCAACTGGACGTAAAAGGCGTCTAATTATATCAGCAAATTCGCATAGTCGTGTGAAGTGGAAAGGGCACCTGATGGAAGTGTCGCATGCTGGGTTTTCGTCGGTTTTCGTGGGTAACTTGACCTCTTGCGCGGCATTGCAGAAGGTTTAGAATTTAAAGATATTTAAAGTTATGGCGTTCTTACCCGTACTTGCGGCGCTTTTCCCCGTACTTAAGGCGTTTTCCCCCTACTTACGGAGTTGTACCCCGCACCCTCTCTAAGGACACTCAAGGTGGCAGCAAGACTTATCACAACCGATCCTTTCAGGCAGTGCGCGATCAAAATGTAAACAAATCCTGCCGTGATGTCAATCGAGACCTTAGACAAGGGCGACAACATGTTGAGAAGTGCTAACATGAGGCTTGAAAACGATGAGATCTGCTTGCAAGTGGAAAAAGTTAAAGGCAACTTCAGGGTATGGGCGGACCAAGCAATATCGGTATAGATCAAACAAAACGGCGATTCTTCTTTTGTATCGGCGTTTTCGGATTGAGCTACGGCAGAAAAAAGATTACGGCAAAAAATATTGCCTCAACAGCCTACGGCAAAAATTATTGCCTCGGGAGGGTCCAGGTATAGGGTTTGGTGAGGGGTCCGTTTTCTCTTTCTGCGTGTGTTTCGGTGGGTGTCAGGTCCGACCCCTGTGGGACAGCCCGAGCTCGGATGCCTATAGGGCCATCACTTCAACAACACCGCGCTGTTCCCGATAAACCATCTCAATGGCTCGGTTGTATTCTTTAGGACGACCCCGTTTTGGATCCGCATTCGGCCGGCAGCCGAATGCAGCCGACCCCGGAATGCCGACGGGTGCCGACGGGCGGGCCTACGCGAGATTTCGTGAGAGGATCGTGTGTTCCTTGCCCTGCTACAAGTGCACCTGAAGCATTCAAAGGGACGGACTCCAAAAACAGAGGCACACTCACTGGTTGCCAGAGGTTCGGAAACACTTCATGACTCCATGTATCTTCCGGTCGGGTGGTGCAGCTGAAGATTCAGATGTCTTCTAGAAGGGAACCCACCCCAAATATACACTCTGGAAGATTAACATGTGATCCATGGAACCTGAAAACCACCGGTTTGTAGAGGAAAGTAGTCTTCCAAAGGTCCATGCCATCAGATTCCGTGTGAACTTTCCCCGGGTGTAGATCCATTGCCACCGCCGTCTCCGCCAGACGACGACGATTGCACCGGGTGGGATGAATGGACCCTCGAGAACGAACTCATGACACCCTGGGTGGATCGGAGCGACACCCCCTTGAGCCTCATCACTGCTGGATGCTCGGCACGGCACCAGACCGGGCCGTTGGGAACGGCTGTGGGGGGGCAGAGACCTGTCAGACCTGCCCCACAGTGGCGGACTGCTGGACTGTCAGTGCTGTTGAGAGAGAGAGAGAGACGTCAGCTCAATGCAAAACAGGGCATGTGGCAAGCCATTCATTTTAGCGCAGACCCGTGCCGCAAGCGCCCGGCATTTGGTTGATCCTAAGGAAGCCTGGAAGACTACGGCTTCACCATTGACTACAAGAATTGTGATGTTTGGCCCAATCGAAAGGGCATGATCTTTTACAGACTCTTTCCATCTGGTAACTTTGAATTCGAGGGGTCAGCGTTCCTTGGAGAATGACGATGTTGACGATGTTGGGTATGTTGTTTCTACTTCAGGGAGTCCTTTTCTCGACTGATCCGCCAAAAAAACGGGTGGGAGAATTGAAAATCCGAGCTCGGGCCCGGACTTCAGGGGTCGGAGCCTCCATACCCTTCAAGGGTCGTGTTGCTTGGGGGACTCTCAGGGATAGCAGATGGCAGACCGAACTGGAGGGTCTGGAAGAAGGGTCACTCCAGGGTTCGTGCGCCGACCTATCGCCTCTCCGCTCACCGGTGGGGGCCTGTCTGATTTTGACACCAATTCATGTAGCTGCATCCGAACTCCTGTCCATTGGGCACCCCTTAAAGGGAAAACCATTGGGCACCCTTCGGATGCATCTGGTAGCTGCTCAATCAGTTGCCAGGAATGTCTCCTCAGACTCTTCAGCATCTGATCAGAAGAAGTACGTCATTCATCGACCAGAGCTGAAGTTGACGCAAGGTTCGAAGGTCATCGCCACGGTGCCTCGTGATGCTAAGCCCTCTGACCTGCGTGCCGCTAAGAAGGACCCTTTATATACCCTGCGGACCGGGGGTCTGGACCTTGGCCATGGGTTGGGCCATGGGTTGGGCAGCGCGGTGGTTAGGAGAATCCAGATAGGTATGGTATTACAATAGGGAACCTAAACCTAATGAATCGGTCTTGATTTGTTGATATGTTTGCATCCTTCTTCCAGGGGGTCTTTTGGGAGATCCCCTATGTTACAAATCCAGATCAGATCTCATGGAGGGTAGACATAGGTGCTTGATTTCATGCAGCTTCCATGGCACGTACGTGGAGCGTGAGTGAGGTCCGGTTCGCCATCGCGCGATCGGTTGACGAAAGGGAGAGTGGTACATGTACATGGTGTTCATAGGGTAGTTTGGTATCCCATACGTCACATATAGCATTTCCCAGCATGGAGCAACACCTGAAGAGCCACCAGGTGACCCAGGTGAATACCCATCCGCCTTCTTCGTTCCTGTGCTACCAACGCGAGAGTTGGCCTTGTACTCCCGGCTCTCGGACGGCCTTGGTCGCCTGAGAGGACCTGCAAGCCTTCATGAACCAAGCTCATCCTTTACCTCCTGCGTAACAAGCGGCCGATGGGTGGTGTGGATCCGCTCTTCCGCCAGCTCCAACGTGCCTTGGAGGGGTGGAAACATGGGTTTTGGATGGTTTTGGGGAAATGCTGGGGAACCTGCGTCATGTTGCTTTATGTCGTTGGAAACTCGGTGACAAGCATTTTCCAGCTCAAGAATGTGCGCCCAGGAGGATGTGAAGTTCTCCTGCTTTAGTTTCTACCATGCACCCTGGGAGTCAAAGACTATCAAAAGAATGGTCTTAAGGGGGCCTGAAAGGGAACTTCCTTTGGCTGGACTTCAGCAGGGTTTACCCTAAGAATTCCCGGCGAGACCGTCTCTCGTGGTCGAGTTGGATCCGATCAGTGAAGTGAAAGCCACCTGTTCCAGATTTCCCTGTTTGGGGTGGTCTCCTTGATACCCCATGATATTCTTAGACATCCCAAACAGGGAAGCCCTGGAACAGGTGGTTTTTTCAGGAGTCGGACGTGATCCAAAAGGGCCATCGCGGTCGGACCTTTGAACAAGAGCCCTTTGATGGTCGATATTCTCAGGGATGGCTTTGACATGGTTTGACCATTTCCCCACGTTTCGTGAAGAACGATCCGACGCGAAGACACGGAGCGCCGAAAGGCCATCGGCGACCGTCGGGTTTCTCTGTCGACACGGAGCTACTGCGAGTTGTGCCGCGAAAGGTGGTCGGTGCTGAAGGAAGAACAATGAAATCTGCGTTTGATGCTTCAATGAGGCACACTGGAATGGTTTGTTTTGAAAGCATTATTTGCACGCTTTAAGTTTTAAGCATCGTTTGCGCCACGACTTGGCACAGTAGGTTGTTAGAGTTTTCGAGCCTTTGCCTGGGCTAAGCCCTGCAAAGCTAAGGGAGTCATGGACTCAGCAGACAACCCTTTTGCATCCGCTTGGCTGTAAAAAAGTTTGCATTTTTTTTCCGAACACGCTTTGGCATCCACAGATTGCTTTTGCCAGGCTGTGGGTACCCACTCATGTCCTCCACGTGGCCAGGCTCAAGGGCCTTGGTTTTGATCTCGATCGAAACTGCGGAGGTTTCGGAGGCATACATCCCCCATCAATAAGCCAGCCAAGGGCCAAGCACGACAATCGCACGTTGGACCAAAGAACAGCCAGAAATTCAGAGTCATAATAAAACAAAACACATCAAAACAGAACTCGTGTTATAAAAGAGTTGGTTGAAACAAAGCCCTTGGCTTGTGCTTTCCCCAAACCATGGTGATGAAGTGCTTTGCCGCTTGGCTCCTCCTGGGACTGCCAGCCCACGCATGGTGGTGCGAAACGAGTCGAAGCGTCGGATGTCGGGGACGCATCAAAGAGTTTGTCAAGGAGGTGACAGCTACAGATCCTTTTCTGGCCCTGAGCCATATTCACACTGCTGTGAATGACGAGCCGATCGTGGTCGATTGGGACAATGATGGTGACTATGATGTGATCGTCAGGAGCTTCGCCAATCCTTCAACCATTTAATCTCAGCATGTGGGATACCCTCTGGCTCACTGTAAATATGTTCTAAGACTTTGCTCCTGACTGACTCACTGACATATTTGACATGCCGCTTTCCAGCCAGGACACCCAAGAGTTTGGAGCTCTACACCCAAAGAGCTGGCAGGTATGTGCGGCTTCAACCCACTCCATTCGAAGGTATCAATGCATTCCTTTGCAGGCCAAGTTTGCCTTTAACATGCAGCTATTCCGAAATTGCTTCTATTCTTATGACATGGCGTTTGCCATGCTTTTTTGGTCGTATAATATACGTTGACATGATCGCGCGCAAGTGTTCCTCTTATTTTCTGGCATTGTGCTTATATCGCTTGTAACCGACAAGTCGAAGTAAATGCAGGAAGTTCCTCTTCGGGCTTCCAGGACTTGCATACATCATTCGTTTCACAGTTCTGCCAGGGTCTAGCTTTTGCGGCAGGCCAGCCATCGTGGATTGGAATAGAGATCAACGGCTCGACTTGATTGTGGGAACCAAAGATGCTCGGCTGCTGTAGCTCCACATGTTTGTGTCCTGCGTTTCCCTCACTAACTAATCCGGTCCATCTATTAATAAACACGGCCCCCCCCCCCAATAAGAGAAACTCGGTCGCATTTTTTCTAATAGGGGGTCCCTGAAATCGGGAGGGTCCAAAATAGGGTCACCTGGGAAGAGCTTCAAAACGAAAAGGCATCTAGAAAAAGTCCTCTATTAATATTAAACTCGTGTCAAAAATTCAAGAAACATCCGGATCGAAGGGGTCTTCCTTTTCCCCTACAAAAACTTTTATTGGAATACTGATTCTTCATTAGACTATCAAAGCTGAGTCCGTTTGGCGTGAGTGCGTGCCATTGGAGGAAGGAAAACCTGCTGGTGTAAACGCTGCGTGTCATGGTGGATACACAGGGCGGACAGGTGTGGGCAGTTGCGGTTGTTTTTGGAACCTAATAAAAGAAACTACCCCAAAATCGACCATGTTGGTAGTTCAGTAGTGGTTTGAAAGGGCGGTAATTTAAAAACAAATATAAATCGAATTTAGGGCTTCGGACGTGGTGTTTTTTTAATTGGGAAGTGTTTATTAATAGGTACTCAGGATTATATAAGTATACTTGAGTGTATACAGTGTACGCTTGTTTTTCCCCAACCAGTGTGGACACACTTAGGGGTTCTTACAGTGAGGGAAAGGAAGCTGATGCTTAGATCGCTGAAGCGCGCGGACGTGACCAGCTAATTCGCTGCTATTTACAGTACATTTATGCCTCTCGACATCGTCAATGTGCATTTGGACTGCGCAGGCTCGCAGAATCTGGGGGCCGGCGGCGGGTGCTTCTAGCGACTGCGTTCTGGTTGTGGTGCCGTGCGCATTTTTTGGCAGGCACAAGGGAAGTTCTTTGGTGGTCCAAAGTCCAAAGTCGACTTTTCGTGACAGGTGCAAGGGATCGGAGCTGTTTTCGTCGCAGGTGCAGCACTTTGGACATGGTGGTGATCGTCGAGGAGCTCAGATTTCGTGACAGGTGCAGTGAATCGTGACTTTTGGACATGTGGCTCGTTTGCAGATTTCGTGGCAGGCGCAGCACTTTGTGAGCCTCGCAGTGTAGATTTCGTGGCAGGCGCAGCACTTTGTGAGCCTCGCAGTGTAGATTTCGTGGCAGGCGCAGCACTTGATAAACCTCGCAGTGTAGATTTCGTGGCAGGCACAGCACTTGGTGAACCTCGAGTGCAGATTTCGTGGCAAGCACAGCACGTTGTGAACCTCGCAGTGCAGATTTTGTGGCAGGCACACCACTTGGTGAACCTCGAAGTGCAGATTTCGTGGCAGGCGCAGCACTTTTGTGAACCTCGAAGTGCAGATTTCGTGGCAGGCGCATCGCTTTGTGAACCTCGAGGTGCAGATTGCGTGGCAGGCACAGCGCTTGGTGAACCTCGAAGTGCAGATTTCGTGGCAGGTACAGCACTTGGTGAACCTCGAAGTGCAGATTTCGGCGCAGGCGCAGTACCTCGAAATGCAAATTTCGGTGCAGGCGCAGCACTTTGCGCTCTCAGATGCTCACTCTCTCACTCTCTCACTCACTCTCATCCTCACTCTCACTCACTCACACACGCTCACACTCTTCACTCACACCCACATTCGCACTCACACTCACTCACTCTCACCTAACTCTCACTCCCACCACACACTCACTCACTCTCACTCTCACCCTCACCCTCACTCTCACTCTCACTCTTACACCCACTCACTCACTCACTCACTCACTCTCCCACTCTCGCTCTCACTCACTCTCCCACTCTCACTCTCACACACTCTCACTCTCACCCACACTCACTTCACTCTCACTCACACTCCCTCTCAAGCACACCCACACTCACTCTCACTCACACTCACACTCACTCTCACTCACTTCACTCTCACTCTCACACACCCCCACTCACACTCACACCCACTCACTCTCCCACTCTCACTCACACTCACACTCCCTCATGACACTTTCACTCTCCCACTCACACTCACTCTCACCCTCACTCTCACTCACACTAACACACACTCACACTCACACTCATCCCCACCTTCATCACCACCATCGCCTCCCTGGACCCAATGCACCTAGATCTCGAGACTTTCGGCTTATAGACCTCACACACACACTGTTTAAGGGTCTCTTGCCAGGATAATTTCCTTCTTTTGCGCACGCAGTCAGGATGGCATCAAGTACTATCAAAGACACTCTTTCTCTGGAAGAGTCCACGAGATAGTTGACAACCCCTTCGTCAACATCTCTGCAGGTGGATGCGCCGATCTCGCAGTAGCAGATTGGGATGGGGATGGAAATTGGGATTTGCTGGTGGCTGATATGGATGCCCCCATGGTCCATTTTGAGCAGTCTCAAGGTAGACTGGTGCGCGTGGAGAAAGCTGCCAGCCCGTTTCGTGACATCATTGACATGGCAGAAGCCAAGCACCTCAGACCCTTAATGGCAGACTTCAATGGAGACGGCCGCATGGATTTGCTTCTGATGCCCAAGATTGCAGAAAACCATTTCTTGAATGGATCACCGGATCCTTTTTACATTCGTGATTGGCGTTGCGAGTTCTTCCTTTATCTTCAAACTGGAGGAGGCCAACTGAAAAAAGTTGATATTCCATACTTGAGAAACCCTGCTTGCTCCTTTGCCGGTGGCAATGGTGCCTCCCTGGTTGATTTGGACAATGATGGTGATTTGGACGCAGTATTTGGAGCACGTGAAGGTCCCTTGCTTGTCTATGAAAACAAAAAAGTGCTTGGTCAGCATATCTTGTCGCCGCGTGAAATGCCTGCCGGAATGCGCATGGACACCATCCTGGAGAAGGGAGGGCTTTTCAATTACTTTTACCCCGTGCTCGCCGACTGGGACTTCGATGGTGACCTTGACTTGGCTTTAGTCACCATACTTAGCAACCTTCAACCACGATTCTTTGAGCATCAAGAGGATCATACGGTCATTGAGCTAGATGGCCCGCCGAACATCTCCTGCCCCATTGATTGGAGCAAGCCCTTCAGCATGCTCGATATGAACGGGGATGGAACTCTAGAGATGGTGGGCCGTGGCACGGGGCGTATGTATGGCACGATCGTTTGCGCACGGAACGGCACCGACTTGGTGGATTCCAAATGTGAGATGAACCCTTTCTGCCTTTGGGCAGTGATTAGGACATTGTTTGTTGTTTTTGGTTTGTGGGGGGAACATCCTTATATTCACATCCTGATAGGATTTCATGAGAGTTCAGCATAGACGGTCCTGTGGGCATGCAACGCACAAATCGAGAAGTGAACTTCATGGCCATAACAAGGCCCAAGCTTTTCAGCGAAAAGGCGCATTTCCGATTTTCATGGTAACGGAGCCCTGGCCGTAAGAGCCGGGGCTCCCTACCCACGTGGCATTACGAGCACCACGATTTCCTCTACCAGGAGGACACGTTCGAGAGGGACATCCTTTACGGCGCTGTCGGTAGTGGAGCTCTTGATCCTCTCAGGCTTGGCGGGCGGTCTTGGTGCTTCAGCAAGACAAGAAGTCCAATACTACCAATCCAACTCACTGCTGCCCAAGGCCGGTAAAGTCAAGCTCGGGTATTTGCATACCCTCGAGACTGAGGCCTAGCTGGGACGACGAGTGAGGTGGACGAAGAGCCAAAAGGCTGTGAGAGCTTGTTTGGCCCTGAGGAGGAGAGAAAACTCGACTGAGCTGAAGGAGGTGATCGTGGTGGTGCCTAGCAAGTGGCGGCTGATCAAGAAGATCGAGCAGCTGAAGGAGGAGACCAAGGAAGAAGATGAACGCTGATTCATCAGTGGCGTTTCTGGGAACTACTGGTCTATAGTGGACTGGAGTTTGGAAGCGAGGAGACGCAGGCTGACGACCAAGACCTACTACCCCAAGGTGAGCTCTTTGGGATCAATGGCTGAGGAAAGCCTTCGTTTGGTGACCGTGAATCAGTCAGCGCAGGGCTGGAGCAGGCGTTTGAAAGCGCCTGACGTGTTCAAGCTTATGGAGCGACTGGAAGCTCTCGTTATTCCTGAATTATATCAAGAGCATCGACCCATCTATGGCCAGCAACATGGACCTGGTGGAGAATGGCATGAATGACACCTACTCCCTGGAGGACATGACTGATGAGACAAAGGCCAAGGCTGTGAGATTGTACAGTCTGCTGACATCGTTCCTTCGTCAGCGGCCATTGAAGTTGATCAGACATGTCAAGCACGAGAACGGCTTCGAGGCTTGGCAGGCAGTCCTCAAGGAGATGCAGCCGGCTACGAGGGCCAGATCACTAGCCCTCTTGAGCCAGCTTTCGGGGATTCAGCTTGCAGAAGGGAAAGCAGTGTCAGAACAGCTGCCGCAGTTCGAAGCACTGGTCCAAGAGTATGAGCAAATTTCAGGGCAGTCATACTCCGATGATCTCAATTTCTGCTGTGCTTTTGGCCTGTCCATTCGACAGCATTTGCACTTGTGGTTGACAAACACCACAACCTATGAGCAGCTGAAGGAGCGCATTGTCCAGTTGGAGGCAGTGACAACCACATGGGACTCATCGAATAGCGTGATGCTTCCTACAAGGGCATCAGCAGACGAGGCCACCCCTATGGAAGCCGACTACATTGGCAAGGCCCATGACAAGGGCAAGAAGGGTGGCAAGGACAAAGGCAAGTCCAAAGGAAAAGACAAAGGCAAGAGCAAAGATGGCAAAGGAGCATGGAAAGGAAGTGACAAAGGACGCTTTTGTGGGAGAAAGGTCCAGGGAAGAAAGGAAAGAGCCCAGACAAGAACGCTAAAGGTGGCAAGTCAGGGACATGCCATGTCTGTGGGAAGATGGGCCATTGTGCCAAAGACTTCTGGAAGCGAGTGAGCCAGATTGAGGAGCAGCAGACGACCAACCCTGGTGGTGCAAATTCATCGTCGACTGGACAAACTGGAACCACTGGGACCTCATCGACACAGCAGCCCTCTGTGAGGATGGTTCGACTTCAGACACCACCAGAGGCAGCGTCTTTGGAAGTGTTTGATTTGACCACGCCTCGAGAACAGGGTGGAGAGGCTGCCTGCCCATGGAGAGTTGGAATGGTAAGAGCAGCTGACGAGGAGGTTGACGAGTTCTATGGGATTGAAGAGGATGGGCACAATGACTGCTATGAGCCTTCAGTCGAAGTGCCTGGACATGTGGCTATCGTGGCCATGGGCCTATGGGATGACGAGATGGAGGTGAACATGGTGAAGACCGAACAAGGATGAAGAGATGAGCGGGGCAGACATTTCTGTTCTTCCCCGTGACTATGCTGGAGTTGGCACTCAGATTCCTAGCTCGGGAGAGCTGAAGATGGTGGACGTCCAGGGAACTCGAATTGCAGATGATGGTGTGAGGATTAGATGGCAAGGTCATCGAGATTGTGGAAGAGTTAACTCGTTTTGGGCAACGTACATCACCCCATCCTATTTGCAGGACGCCTATTGAAGAAAGGATGGAGCCTTGGTGGAGTTGATGGGCAACTGCACTTGAAGCACGCTTACCGGAGCATCGAGATCCCTTGAACACTGAGACGAGGAATTCACTCCAATTTTATTTAAAGCCCGCATCTTCGCAGTGAAAGCCCCTGAGAATGAGGTGACAGACAAAGAGACACGGGTTTTCACTTTGTCACTTTGTCGGCCTGGAGATGACCCCTGGCTGGCATTGATTGCCAAATGGAGTGCTGGTTTACAGTGATGCAGTGGCCTGTCAATTGACCAACCCGGAAGGCAGCACCGAGAAGCAAGGCACGATTGACCCTGGTGAAGAACAAAGATGATGACGCATGGACGCCGTTGGAAAATGTCACCAACCAAGCTCAAGGACTCTTGGGAACCTAGGTCTGGGGTACCGATTTCACCGTACCCCAACACTGAACAGTCCTTTGGGCATGTGGATTGGTCACAAAACGATGCAGAGGAGATGGACGAGCACGTCGAGAAGACAGTGGTGGCCGAGGAGCCGAGTGAAGTTGAGCTCGACCAAGTGGTTTTTCAGACAAGATGAGTGAAGGAGTTCCAGATGGCTTGCAAAGAACGACAGCTGCTGTGGACCGGAAGCAAGAACAGCGGCTACTGGCCTTCAAGATCAACTTGGAGACGTAGATGCTCCTTGCCGCAGCAAGCCAGAGACCTCTGACCCCATGGTGTCAAGCATGTGTTGCGTGCAGAGCAAAGGAGGACGAGAGCAAGAATGTGGATGAATAGGAAGACATTGAGAAGAACATCATCCAGATCGACTTCTTCTACACGTACACTGGTGAGGAAGGTGCTGGAGAGGCAGGATCAGTTTGCGACCTGCTTGATGGTGTCCAGTGAGACCGAGGCGATCCATGTGGTCTGTCTTGAGACCACATGGATCGCCTCAAGACGGTGACTGAGGAGGTTGGTTTTCACGTGCCACAAGATAGATTTTGAGGTCCGTCCAGCAAGTGAGAAGCGTGATGGGTCTGCAGACTGAAGTTTGTGTCGTGGGCACAGGGCAGCATCCTTCGAATGGCCAGGCAGAGCGAGCTGTTCAAACTGTTCGTCGGCTAGCGAATTGTCTCAGGGCATTTGCTGAAGAGCGTGCACGAATCAACATCTTGGGGGAACTTCCATCTACCCCCTTGTTCAAGCACGCGGCCTTCCTGCTCAACAGATTCAGGGTGCTGGATGGATGCAACAAGACTAGCTATGAACTAGCTACAGGGCATCCATATCGGGACACATTGGCGCTGTTTGGCGCATGTGTGATGTTCAAGCGCATGGTGCAATACAGGTACAAGGCAGTGGCGCTTTCGAGACTGGGCATTTGGGCAGGAAAGCATCTGTGGACTGACTGCCACGTCCTGCTCACTGAGAATGGCGCTTTTGAGGCCAGAACCATTCGGAGATTAGCTCCTGAGGATTCCTTCAAGAACGCTGAAATTCTTTTTGCCAAAGGTTTGCCCTGGAGATACTCACCGCAAGGCATTCTGAAGAAGCATGTTTGCCCACCTTGGTGATGGAAGCCAGTGAAGAAGACATGAAGCAAATTGCAACTGATGTGGCTGCTGGTGTGGTGACTCCCGCACCACGACTTTCAGCTTGGCCTTCGCCTGGAATTGCAAGTGCAGCCCGAAGCACTCCGGCTCCTATGATACTTAAGGAGCCAAGGAAGAAATGGAGAAGAGACCTTTGAGTGAGGAGGAGATCTTTGACGACAGAGAGAACAAGAAGTTAGATAGCACTGATTCACCTTGTCGAGGATATGACCAAAGGGCCATTGAAATGAGTGATGAAGAGATTGAACCGCCATCATTACCAGAACAGAAACATCATTACCAGATGCTGCAATGGGCTCACGCCCAGTGGAAGCTTCACCAAGGACTTCGCCTACAGGATCAGGAGCATTGTATCCTCCATACTATGCTGGAGTGGACGCTCACGAAGCTCATGGAGACGAAGAAGTTGGAGCCGACCTGATTGCTGAAGAAGTGATGGACGAAGAGTTATGGGGCCATGGAGGTGAAGAAGGAGATGATCCACGAGAAGTGAGCTGGCGAACCTTGTTGCCGTGGCAAAAGACAAGGAGACCACGAGAATGCTTGAGGTCCCAGCGATGGTGGAGGTCGAGCCAGAGGAAGTGGAGTTGAGTGGTGGATATGTGATCTCGACCAAGAAAGTGATGCGCTGGAAGTTTCGTCTAGAACAAGGTGGATTTAGAAGAGCACGGCTATTGACGTTTGCTCCCACCTCCATGATGATCCTGCCAAAGATGCTCAATACGCCTCATGATGAACGTCTACCTCAACTTCGTGGCGGTGACGTTGGACGTGAAGGACGCATTCCTTATGTCACCACGGCCTGGAGAATCTTCAAGCTCCTACGATGTTTGCCGGGTCAGAGTCAGAGGACAGCCGCATCACAGTGGCTCCACCTGTTCGCAGGAACATGTTCAGAGTTATGGGGTGCAGCAAGACCCAGTGCAGACTCTGCTGTTCATTCCTAAAAAGCTGTATCTTACAGTTCATGTGGACGACGTATTCATGGTGGGGCGCGCAGACTGGGTCAAGGAGTTCGTGAACTACCTGAAGGAGAAGAAGAGCTGGAATGTCGAAGAAATGGGACCCTTCATGACAGGAGACAAGTTCTACTGCCTGAAGGGAGGGTTCTCTCTAAGGATGCGCTACTGCGATGTGAGGTGCGACCAGAAGCAGTACGACTGCTTTGAGAAGGATGTGGACTTTCTCGAAGTTCTACAGGAAGACAACTTTTGGATCCCAACTTCACAAAGAGAGATGAGTCACCTTTGCTTTCAGGAGGAGACATCAGCAAGTTCAGAAGCATCGCGGGCAGGCTGATGTAATGTAACTGTATCTGTCAGGAGAGATTGCCATCCAATGTTTGGCAAGGCACATGGCCGAACCTACTGTTCAGGCGATGAAACATGCATGGCATGTGCGCTCCTACCTTTTTGTCACTGGTGGCTATGGCGCCAGGATCGACAGCAGAAGCCGTGGCCAATCCGTGATGGACATGAGGAACATCTTCTGGAAGTGGTGACGGATGCTGGCTACGCAGGCAATCAATATGACCGTAAATCGACAAGTTCCTTCCAGAGACGTCTATCGATGGCAACCTGATGGAATCGAAGGTACAGTCACAGAAGGCCGTTTCACTGTCTTCAGGCGAGTCAGAGTTTGTGGCCATGGTGGGATGCTCAGAAGGTCTACTGATCAAGCATCTTTGGGACCAGCTGACTGGCAAGAAATGCGTCATGAAGGTGAGATCAGATAGCTCAGCGGCAAGAGCCATGGTGCAAGGACAGGGCATCGGCAGGGTACGTCATTTGGATGCCTCACTGCTATGGATCCAGCAGAAGGAGAAGGAGAAGGTGATGTCCGTTGCCGCAGTACCCTCAGAGCTCAACAGTGCAGACCTGGAAACAAAGAAGTTGACCCAGAATAGGCACAGGGCATTGCTTTACATGCTCAAGATGGTGGATTCAGTCGGTAAGTGTCAAGAAGTTCGGCAAGAACAAGGATGCTGATGCTGATGAGCACACTCAGCAAGGCAGCTGGTGCACCTGCAGGTGGAGAAGAAGTTCAAGTACAAGAAGGGGATTGGGGCTGGATGGCCTCATGCTGTTATATGCGCAGTCATTGGGGCCTTGAGAGCGCTGAGTTGGCTGCGTGCGGACCATTGCGGACCTACTGGTTTGAGGTCTTCAATGGCATGGTTGGCTTCGTGCGGGACTCCGTGAAGGAGATGCTCAAGGAGAAAGAGATCTCAATGAAACTTGAGGTCAAGATGGTGTACACGGAGACACAAGTGGCTATATGGATAGAGCGATCTCCCTACCTGGAAGGCTAGTGACTATGAGCGAGACCTGCTGGAAGCCAGAAACCAATGCTTCAGCCAGGAGATCTACATTCTACATTGAAGAATTGGAAGAGCGTCTGAAACGAGTACCGGAGGGCATGGATGAGTTTTTACTCCAAGTCCGGAATTCAGATGCTCGTGCGTCGAAGCTAGAAGCCCAGTTGAACCGGATGCGAATGACGGCAACTGGAAGAGTTGTCCATTGTCCCCCCAACTGCCAACATGTGGGCGTGCTCACAGGAAGGAGGAGTGATACGATTTTATGAGAGTTCAGCATAGACGGTCCGGTGAGCATGCAACGCACAAATCGAGAAGTGAACTTCATGGCCATAACAAGGCCCAAGCTTTTCGGCGAAAAGGCGCATTTCCGTTTTCACATCCAGAAGGAGAATCCACCTGCTTTTCAAGCAGGGGCAACATGAAGATCATGAAAGCTGGCTCTCTAACTAGAGACAACAAGTGGTCCAGTTCACTGGGGTGTGAAAACAATAGTTTTCTGCAGGTTGTCCCTTAAACCAAGTCTGGAAGTCTGGGGTTCATGTGATTTGCATGGAATTGCCACACGAATTCGTGCTTTGGCTCCGGCTGGCGGTCCTTGAAGCCAAGGGCAGTTCAACGCAAATGAGCAAGAAGGCTGCATCAGCTCAGGGGCAAACAAGATCACCCAAGGGCAATTCCCTTCTTGGTTGGATTGGGACGGAGATGGAGATGTGGACGTTTTGAAGGTTGCTCGGCCAGGTGAACTACACCTTCATGAGCAGCTCTTCAATGGCACCTTTGTGTTGAAGGTCCTCCCGGTCCCTCCAGTCCGTGACTATACTGCAGCTGATTTTGATGGAGATGGTGATGTTGATCTCTTGATTGCTGTGCCCAAGGAACCTGGCTGCAGGTACTTTGAGCGCACAGGCGATGGAAGCCTCAAGGAGCTCAAGGGAAACGACAACCCATTCAATTCCGTTTGCGGTTCTACCGGCTCACTTGCAAGCAGCGCCCTCAACGAAGAGTTCAAATATTTCACCTTGGGAGATTGGGACCAGGATGGTGATATGGACATGATCGTGGTGGATGCTCATGATGGGGTACAACTGTTCAAGGCTCAAGGCGTCAACCATTTCTTGGAGACACCCAACTCTCCTTTCTCGACCATCTCCTTGCCCGACAACATGATGGTGAGCTTGGCAGATCTCGATGCCGATGGTGATTTGGATGTAATTGTTCCTTCACATACATACCCTAAAGAGTGCTGCGACATGGAGTACAAATATTTTGAGCGTGTGGCCAGTGGAGACTTGGTGGAACTTCATATGGCCGTGCCGCCTCTGAGGGCCGTGCCGTTGACATTCTTCGAGGGGGGTACAAAGAGCCCCTTTGTGTTTCAACGACACTTGGTTGCTGACGTGGATGGTGATGGAGACTTGGATGTGGTTCTAGGAGACTATTTTTCCAGGGACATCCAGTACGCGCAGCAACAAGATGGCCAGTTCATTTGGCTGCCAGACTCGCGCAACCCATTTTATGAAGTAGTTCAGCAGATCAAGGACAAGGCTTGCTGTTGTTTTCAACTGCTATTGTTTACTGTCAAATTTGCTTTGCCGGGGGGACTAGTACTAATGACTCGGATTTTTTTATGTGGCCCACCACCAATCAGAAGGTCTTGTGTTGGAGCATGGTCGACTGGGACCGTGATGGCGACTTGGACGTGTTGGCGCCTCAAACCTATGAGGACGGCAAGAACATGCAACTGGCATCACACATGCGTCTATTCGAGCAGGTGAGCGACGGCAGCAACTCCAGTTTTTTGGAGGTCGTCGGTTCTCGAAATCCTTTTGATGGATTGAGCATTGACATGACAGCTGAATGCCCTTCCCTCATTGACCTTGACGGTGACGGAGACTTAGATTTGGTGCTCATGCTTACCAGTAAGAGGTTCGAGTACTATGAACAACGTGAAGGGAGATATCACCATGCTACAAGCAATCCTTTCGATGGAGTCTCTATCAAGAAAGGTTCTACAATGCAACCTTTGTTCACTGACTGGGATGGTGATGGCTCGTTGGATATGCTGGTCACAGGTTCGACTAAGCTCCTCTTCTTTCAACAAGGCTTTTGCTTGCCTGCCTCTTCATATTGCCGCTGGGGCTCTTGCAATGAGAGGACAAATCAATGCGAACGCAACGATGGAGTTGAGGGCCACGACTGCAGCATTTGTGGAGAATATCATGTTCGCACGGAGGACTGGGAGGGTCAGGGCGTTCTTTGAAAACTGATACCCTAGAAGTCCAAAGACTATATTTTGACCGGCTGAAGTAAAGGAAGTTCGCTTTCAGGTCCCCTCAAGACAATTCTTTTTATCGCCTTTGACTCCCAGGGTGCTATCTTATGATGGAAGAAATTGTAAATGTAAAGGAGATACACTCCGTGTACAGTAGTGATGGTCGGATTATGTCGGAATCTATGAACCCGAGTGTTTCTTCGGTGTTCCTATTTCTCACGCAGACAGTCTGATATCACGTTTTGTTGTTTCTGTGCGTTGGTGTCAGTAGTGATGGGCAGTGCCTGTCTCGGAGACTGTTAGCTTTGCACGGAGACCCGTTTGCTTGGAAGATCTTGGAACAATTCTTAGGGCAGTTTCCACTCCAATGCTTCGACTTTGCTGCACAGGCAGCCGGTAAAGGAGTTGTGACATCGTTTGATATTGACAGAGCTATATAGTGACTATAGTGTGTATATATATATAGACTAAATATTGGGCTAAATCTATATTCTTTAGTATATATATATATAGGGCACTAGTTAGGGCACTGCTTCTCCCTTGATAAACACATGCACTCAGAACACCATGAGGGGTGTTCCACTGCGCAGTCTGTGCTACGGCTCCGCAGCGGAGGAGCGGCTCTGGTTCATCCTGGTTCCTATGAACCAGCGATTCGCATGCTCATCGTCTCATCGTCCGCGTCTCATTGTCTCATTTTTAATGTCCAGGATTTTGGTGTATCATGACGCGTGATCGTTTCATCATAGATGGAGCACTGGTTAGCCCATGTTAGCCCTTGAGAGGCAAGAGTCAAACCTGGCATGAAGTGGTGAACAAACAAAATGGCAGCAGCAATCATTTGCGAGTGTGTTGTGTGACGTTTGGAGACTTGGGTGGGTTGGCTGGCTGGTTTGATTGGGTTTGAGTGGTTTTCCCCGTGTGCTGGTTGTCGTCACCACTCTTGCACACACACCGGTGCAAACCTTAACGAGTCATGGAGATTATAATGGACTTGGCCATGGCTTCCTGATCACTATCAATATGATTTGGCCGCTTATGTCAGTAGATGTCGCTTTTTTTTCGATTCTTTGTTCTTGTTTGCCTCGACTTTGCGCAGAGGACACGTGCAAAAAGTGTCCTGGATATGATACAGTTTCACGCACTTGCAGTCGACGTGGTATGTGCGATGACGATGTGGATGCCAGAGGCAGAGAGACAGCGGCAAACTCGACAGGGTTCAAAGTCTTGTCAGCAACAGGCACTGGCAGGTGCACATGTTCCGAGCCTTTCTCAGGCGATGCTTGCGAACAAGGTGCATGTCCACCAGGGCAACGCCTCGATCGGGATGCAGATGTGGACCTCGTAAGTGCCAAGTACCCGAGGTGGGAAGCATGCGTGCCTTGCCAAAAGGGAAGATTCAAGAACTTCAGCGGTAACGATGACTGCCGAATTTGCACAGGTGGCCACATTCCAGCCGCAGACGCCACCAGTTGCGTCGCTTGCAAGTCAGGCACTACCCCGTCCACTGACCGCAGTGAATGCTCTCCATGTGACACAGGCTATGTGGCAATTGCTGGAGCACCAAACTGCAGTTCATGCCCAGCAGGCACTGCACCCAATGCAGAGGGAAGTGAGTGCATCGAGTGCCACACAGGTCAGTATTCCAGGCCGGGTTCCAAAACCATATTTTGAAGCAAACACGATCACCCGTCCTTTCTCCCGGGTGTCCAGTTTGGGCGGTAGATTCGGCGACTCGGGCAGTCGATTGGTGAACCGGAAGGGACAATACAGGAAGATGTTGGTTGTTTTGTGTGAAGACTTTCGCCCCGAACTCAGGCCGCGCTCCGCCCGGTGCAGCATGTGTGAGCCAGGCTTTGCTCCAGACGCCACAAGAAGCAGCTGTCAGAAATGCTTGGGTCAAAGCTATGCGAATCCAGGGGATGAGCTTTGCCGTGCTTGTTCCTTTCCATCCATGATTTTGAATGATGACAATTGGTGTACACCGATCTACACAATTCTTTTTGTGTTTGGCTTCATCCTTCTGATGCTATTTGTCATGACTGCATTTGGAAGGCTACGCCTTGAATGTCTCCGATGGCGTTTGAAGGATTTGATCCAAGCAAAGAACTGGCATGACTTGCATGCTACTAAGTGTACATTTCTTGAGTATGGCCTTTGCAAGAAGAAAGCTGATCGCCTGCTTAATGCACGGAAAGCTGATGTGAAGGCAGAATCCTTTCAACTTGGCATTTGCTTGCAGTATGTCTTCGATCATTTGGAAGGTATGTACACAGAAAGAGCACAGCAAGCCGAGTGGCGTTTTCACGAATGGCCTTTGACGAAGACTGGCTACCTTGTCAAGATTCGCAACTTTGGACTCCAAGTTGTTGACCCAGAAGCTGCTTGGAATGCGTTGCCAACATGCAGCTAGATGCATGGTTGAGACATGTTCATACCCCTTCTTGTTTGTATGTTCACCATGTGCTTGGAATATGTCCGAATGATCCAATATATGCGTATATATGTCGATGGTTTGGAAAGCTGACTCACTTCAGGCAGCTATCCGAAAGATCCAAATTTCCATCAAGTTGCACAAGTCTTGGCATACGGACCATGGGCCTTGGGGAAGCACATGTGTTGCCCACGTGACGGCCAACCAGATTGTAGTGTTGTGGACGCCCTTCAACCCGAGAACAGCAGTGGCAAAGCCACTTGGTTCCTCTCCTGGGCACCTCGGCTTTGATTTCTTGTGGCGGTGTGCAGCATACAGGCTCCCTGTCATAGATAGAAAAGTGACTCCCCACTACAAATGTTGAAACCGTGCAATTATTTGTTTGGGGACTACTATAATTCATTGAACTTTTCTGCTCTCAATGCAGATTGCACAGTGGCAAAATGTGGTGACGAACTGCTTCCAAAGTGACAAAGTGAAGCTGCGCCTTTAGTTGGTTTCGAAATGTTTCGAACGATATTTTTTCGACCTTTAGTTGGGATGATTGTACCCACTGACTATTTTTCAAGTGGGTTGAAAAGCGCCAACCAGATATCCTATGGTAAAGGAGTGTGTATAAGGCCTTCTTTTTCTCCAGACCACGCGCCGTTCGAGTGAAGCAGAGGTCTGGGGATATGGCTTCAGGACGGTGACCACGGCCCTATCTAAGTGGTGGCAAAAGCATCGAATTGTGTCCGGTGATGCCTGCTCCAACATTTACATTTGGTGGTGCGTGTTCGTGAACAACCAGTTCAGGATGTTGGAAGAAGGTGTGATGGAGCCGCCGGATAATTTGTTCGATGTGTTTGGGCAACAGTTGGAGGGCATTGGCAAGATGCTCATGTGCTTGGACAAGTTCAAGGGGGGTCAATATACATCACGAATTTGGTGCATTTTTGAGGTGTTTGTGGCATGTCAGAGGAGCAGGGGAGTTTCGTTTCTCAAACATGGCAAGCATCTCGAAGGTTTCGTTTAGCTGTTCAATTCGGAGAATTGAGACCAAATCACGTTGATTTCGACGGAACAGTTTATAATGTAAACAATGTAAATATAATTTAGAGCATTATTTATATATAATGAATATAGTTATATGTGTATTTTGTTTATCTAATATATTAAGATGGACTTGAATATTTATATAATAGCATACTGTACTTGTCACTTACACGCAATTCACTTCAACTGCTGAACTAGATGCACAAAGTTCACTCACAGGTTGACTTGCCCGGCCCAAGCTAACTTGCAAACACAACTTGCAGGAGCTACTTAACGCTGATGTTGAGCACAACACCGGATGCTGAAACGTAGAGACGTAGGCTAGCCGACATGGTGTGTGTGTGATAAGATGTGGTGAGATGTCCTTTCCCAATAACGGTTTGTTAAGAGCTATAAGCGTGACCAGTGATGTTTGAAGTTTGGATGTGGGCTTGCCGGGCTCGCATGGCTCCTGGCGCATGGCCGTGGCATGTTTTGTTGCCAGCACTTTGCATGTCACACTGCCACGAGCACTTCTCGCTGGCAACACGCCAGACCGCTGGACGGTGGGGCTGGATTCGAAAGGGGTGCGGGCTGGAGTTCTGGACTCGGACCCTCAGGAGTATTCCAGCTACGGTGATCCTTCCTGAGCTGGAGGTGGGCGAAATCGAGTCATTGAAGGATTTGACTCGAGAATGCCGAGTGGATGCCGCAGCCGCTTCTGGGCAGAAGAGGACATGGATGGACAGAGCAGTTCGGAACAGGCCTCGTTCGGAACACGGCCGAGCCGAACGAGAAGAACGGGCCCAATTCGAAGAACAAGCAACACGCCTGCCGGATGACAATTGTCCAGCCACAAGCGAACCAAGGAGAAAGCCAGTGAACTAACAACTCACCTAGACCATCATGGACCTTTGAGAAACTGCATTTAAAGATTGTCAAGTCACTTGAGATATGTCTTGAGATACGTTGACCATCAGACTTCAGGTAGGTTTGCAAGGCTGCACGATGTTGCGAGGTTGTAAATTTAATGTTTGCAGTCAAGTGAGATCCATGCTTGCCGAGGCTAAAGCCTCTGTCCAAGCAGATGCAGATGCAATCAAAGAGGAGATCCAAAAGAAGCACCAGTCATTCCAATACGTGAAGCTTGGGCAGCAAGGCTAGCGGCGGCTAGCGCTTCAAATTTCAATTTCTGTCCATCCAAAGATTGCTGTCCAGATGTTTTCAGGCTTTGGCAAGGTTCTTCCAGGTCTCATTGGCTCAGGAACCAGACAGTGGAGCATGCTCTTTGGTGCGAAGTCATTGAATACCTTGAAGCGAACAGTACGGATTCGTCCACGCGGGACGAGGGCACCTCTGGTGTGCCGTCCAGCGAGGAGTCCACGGAGTCTGTTCCCTCCACGAGTTCGACGAAGAAAGGTCCGACGTCGTCAGATTGCAGCCTTCAATGAACGGATCTCCAGGCGGTGGCTGGAACAGACGCATGAAGGCACAAAGAACGGACAGACGCATGCATGTTTGCCTAGGATGCTTGCTTGGCAAACATGCAAGAATTCATTGAAAGGGCGCCTCTTAGCTGCAACACTGGTGATAAGATGTGATAAGAAAGAATCAAGGCACGGTCAGCTCTGGCAGGTTTGGTAAAGTTGAAATGTGCCAACAAGGTCTGCAATGATGCCACAAGCGCAGCATCATTCTCGAGCGGAGGGAAATGCCGTTTCTTTGATTCTGAGCTGCCACAATACCTTTTTGGCAGGGCAACTGCTTCGATCACGCGTCCAGTCTTTTTGGCCAAGTAGTCATCAAGTCCCCCATCCTCAGGATACACCAGGGTCAAATGCAGTGATGTGAAGGAAATCTGCAACTCCTTCAAGCTGGCCGAAGAGTCGAAATGTGCATCGATTTATTTTAACTGTTTGATGAAGTGCTTTGCCTAGAACATGCATCTAGGCCGATCAGCCTTCAACGCCTGTTTTTTCCTGCAAGGGGGTCAGAAGCACACCTTGCTCTTGGGCAAATCCAAATTTTGGAGCTTCAATCCTGGAGCGGAAAAAGGAACATTTCAGTACAGCTCTAGAGCCTCTTGGGTCCGCCATACATGTGCAACGTGCGACGAACATGCTCGGGTCACCATGGAACAATCCGTTAGCAATTGCTGCTGAAAGCCGAGATTGCTTTCTCAGGCTAGGCTGCTATGGCATGCAGGCCCCGTTGTGAAGGTGTTTCTATGGACAAGTGAGCGCATCTATTGTGGTCCCACGAGGAGCCTGTAGGAGCATGTAGCTGTCTAATATTGTCAAACCAGTCTAACTTTACAACTATATGTCAGGACTCTCACAAGGTCTGAAATGCTGGGAGATGTCCAATCATTGGAGTGGGGAAGTATGGAGGCTCCATCCACTTGCACCATTTAGACCACACACGCCCCAGCAGCACTCTCGGCCGCTTTGGCGCGGAGGGTGATCGTCACCAAGGACGAGGAGAAACACGCAGCAGATTGTGACTAGAAAAGGAAGCTTCCAAAGATTTTTGTTGGTAGGTTGGTCGTTGTTGGGTGCTTTGCTTCAAAACAGTTTGTACGTGGCGAGCTTTGCAGATTTTGTTGGTAAGTCATAGCACTCCTATACATCCAAGCTGGATCAAGCCTTTCACGGCCTTCATGTAGTTCTCTCCAAGTAAAGATTGGCATGCATAAATGTCTTCAGAAAAGCAGCTAGAATGGTGCGCTGCGTTAGTGAAGGCTTGCTACACATTAGACTCAGACTCAGCAAAGCTTTCCTGGCCTGAAGATGAATCTACTTGCCAGGTCCCCCTTGGATCAGTTTGTTGACCATGCCAAACTAAACTTTGCGATTCAAACACCCCAAGCCAGTGTTGATACCCCACACCATGGCTGGCAAGAGTCAGCATGTTGTCGTTAGTAACCGCAGATGTTCTTCCTATGGAGATCGGTTGAAGTTCTTCCCCCACCGGCCGGGGCAGATGGCGGCACCGCGGACGGAATGTTTGACAGGCACGAGACGGACGACTCGTAAAAAAAAACGCCCGGTGACTTTAATGGTTGAAGGGTCAGTGATGATAAACTTTTGACTTCTTGCAGAAAGGAATGCACAGACTGCTTTTTATAGCCTGATCAGCATCAGACTCAGGCTCAACACATTTGGGTAGCATTCAATTTGTCGCCTTCTCGCAACTGAGCTACTCAACTTCCTCAAAGGTAACCCAAAGTTTCACCTTCGAAGACGTTTTTCAAAGTGACATCGTGGGGATCGTCTCGTCACCCGATGGTGTTGTAACTCTCGACGACGATAACCTTTGCCGTGAGGCCAGCCGTTTACTCATTGAAAAGCCATGTGCCTCCGCTGAACTACAGCCCCTTGGGCATGAAACCATTGTGTCACAAAAGGATACAATAGGAAAATCACGAAATAGACAGACAGTGAGTTCTAGATCATGTTTGTATGATGTGGACTGCTGATGAATAGACACTTTTGTCCTGTGGAGATGTATATAAAACCATTCTGAATAATTAGATGTTTTTTGCTCAACCGTCTACATTGGCCGTGCCCATGTGACCTGGGAGGTCTTCAGGCCCACGTAAATAGGCCCAGGTTGGCATGCCGCAGAGGGGGACTTTCGTCTAGGGAAGGCGTCCATTTTTGATCTGAGTGAGTACTTATGAGCCCACCACTTTTGAATAGCATGCGAGTGTGGAAAGGAATGAAAGAAGCACGTTCAGTTATATATATATATAATGATTTTGGGGCTCCAGTCGTACCTCCAGTATGACTGGACCCTCCTGACACCCACCCCAAACACCCTCTTATAGTCTTATAGAAGGTACGACCGGAGGCCAAAGGTAAGTAAAATCTTTGCTTTTGCGGACTTTTGGAGTCCGCCGGTGCTGCTTGAGGTGGTCTCAATGGCAAGTCGCTCTTTTGGCAGCAGTTGGCCGCCTCATACCGGCCCGGCATCCAGAGCCATCCGGTCTCTCAAACACTCCACTGTTCCCCAAACGATCAGGAACTTTCAGCGTCATAGACTCATGGACCTTGGCTACTGTCAGTGCATCAATCCTGTTCCCAAAAACACGACCGTGTGACACGACAGTGTGTCTCAGGTATCTTCCGGAAACCTCCGCCTTCATCCAATGCGCTCAATCCAGGCACGGTCTTCCGTTTGGTAACTCGGCGTTGGAACAAAGACTTGGGCACAAAGACCGGATCATCCAGACACTCCATGGGACTGCCATATATGCCTACATTGACCCCCAAAACCACCCCAACTGATCGGCATATATGACAGTCCCATGGAGTGTTTGGGGGAGATCACCCGCCGTTCCTTGGCGCGTTCCGACGCTCCCGGCCATGCGTTGGAGGCGTTCGGTGGATGCGTCACCGGGCCCCGATGTCGGCACGAACGATCGTGGTTCCATCGAGAACCCGTTCGGGCGAGCCCGGTCGTACCTCGAGATGGGACGGGACCGGCCCCCGCCACCCTGCCAGACACACCTTCTTTGAAGGTACGACTCCGTTCGTAGGCCAGGAGCTCCGTTCGTAGCGTCCTTGCTCCGTTCGTGGAGCCCGGGAAGACGAAAAGGATCCGCTCGTCAGGATCTGCACGAGCTGCTCGTGACGCTTTGGACCCTTTGGACGGACCGACCGTGACCGACCTCGCCGGCGCAGGTGGCGGAACCACTCGGATTGCATGCCCGCCGTGGCCATGCGAAGATATCAGGCCGGTGGGACGGTGGCCGTATGGGATGGCTTCGCTCGGGGGGTCCGCAAGAACATCGGACCCGAGCGCCACAGAAAAAGGAGTCAGGCCCAACCTCATGACATCTCATGACTCAACAATGAAGCCTTCACCCCCGGTTTTGATGGCTTAGCTGTGCTGGCAGCTAAGCCACCAAGGAGTATTGGGCCAATTTGAGGGCAGAGGAGTATGACATTTGCTGCCAGCCAAGCAAGGCGGACAAATGCAAGGAGAAGCCTCGATCGTTCGCCACGAATCCTCCCAAACGAACCCTTCATGTCTACTATGCACGAATCAGAATTATGGAATTGCTTTGTATAAGAATCGCATAATTTATGGATGTAAGTAGTGTTGGAAAACTCTTTGTCAGTTGCCCAGACCCCTCGGTTCGTTGGTGACCATGGAGCTCACAGTGACCCGTGAAGCAAAGCGCGTCACCTGCATGAGTACGTATTGCTGGACCTGGCTTACACTATGTGTTTCTTTTTGTATGGTGTGTTTTTTCCAGAAGAACTCGCCATCGTGGTTTTGTACGCACTGAGTTTGAGCATGTCTGACGAAGAACGCCACTCGTCGCGCAGTGCCTGCGCTGCCTGCGCGCTCCCTCCCGCATCGGCCGGGGTTGCACAGGAGCCAAAACTGAAGGATGGTCTACCACTCTGTGGCTTTCCCTTTGGTTCGGTGGACCATTTACCTGCCTTTCTGCCGGAGCTCCAACTCAGCTTACCCTCAGGTGCGGGGCACAGAAAACACGGGCGGTTTGGCATTTGGAGCACGGAATGGTTGGAACGTTTGAGGGAAAATCCATGAAAATATATTAAAATCAAACAGTCTCTGGTGTGTGGTGCAAGCTTGCACTAGGGCTTTCCGTCGCCGACTTGGATCCACCACGTCGTCAAGATCACACACGTATCGGTTTTGCGAATCGAGATGAATTGAGTGAGTCTTCCTTTCCCCATGTGTGAATCCCCCAGAACTGGGGAATCTGCTTTCGAGTGATTCTTCGCACAATCCAAGCCCAAGCAGATTCCGTGTTGAAACACAACATCGTACCCAAAGGTCCAGGCTTTTTCGACTGATTTTTTTCAGGGGAAACTTGTTTCGACCGAACCCTTTGCAGACACACACCACTTGTTTCAGACATCACCGTGACTACCTCAGACCGCTAACGCCTGCACTGAGGACCATTGCGCCTGTTGCAGGGGATTGGTGATGAGGTGCCGGGGTTCCAATGCACCTGCCATGGCGGGCTTGGAAGATGTGTTGTTCCTTTTTTCAGGTGGTTTAGCTATAGGGATATAGACATAGATATACAAATCCGTACATCGCTAAAAACACGTCACAGTTGAAACAAGACCTGTCCCTAGGCTACCTATAGTATTTTTAAGGCAGCATGAGTTCCCTGAGAAGGATAAGAGTCACACAAACTGTTTCATTATATATGTTAATTTAGTTATAACTCGAATTCCAACTTGATTAGATGATGCATGCCTGGCCTCAATAATTTCTATTGGCCTTTATTTACTTTGTGTCCGGGCAGTTTGATGGAGCTTGCTCTACATCCTGGATTCTCTACAGGGCTTTTGCTCAGGGGTCCCCAAAACGATAGCTTTGTTCGCCGAAGAAGGTTGTTGATCCATGGGACCTTCTCCTTTAATCCTTTCATCCTTTATTCCCGACCTATCATTTTCTGTGCACCGGTTTCTTCCCGTTTTCCTTGTGAATCTGCTTTGGTCCTTCATGTTCACTTCGGTCGTCCTTTTGAGTTCTTTCTATTCCTTTTTGCTTGTTCCATCGGGCCCGAAACCCGAAACCCTGTAAGAGCAAAGAAGGATAGCCCGGCTTCGGCCATGAAATAAGTTGAGCGGGCTTTATTCAAGCCCAAGGTTGGTTTCAAGGAGCAGCTCTTGAACCGCCAAGAGAGGTCTTTCTTGGACTTCGTGATAACATAATAATGAAACATTAACGACACTGAAGTCCGTTGTTGCCAACTCAGACATCATGTCTTGGGGGCAGCAAGACAGACCTCAAGCCATTTCATGCCCACCCTCCCAGTCGCCTCTATAATTGCTCACGCATGCCATCAAATCCTTTGCTTCTGGCTGTTCACTTTATCGCTTGCGGGATCATTCAACAACACAGGGTGTCTCGGTGTCTCTCAATTTGGAAGTAGAAGTGGAAAGTAAATCACCCATTGGCACAATTGTTTCACAACACTTGGGTGACACAAGCCCACAAAAACGATCCATACCAGTGGTGCCCGACCAGCCATCAGATCCAGGATCTCTACTGCAACAACTCCAAGTGCAGAGTCTACTTGGAATGCTCAGCAGATGCTTTTGCTCATTTGGATTGGACAATATTGGACACCCTCAGCTTCCGGAATCTACTGCTTTGAATAGATTCCCCACTTCCCCGCTTGCTCAATTTGACCGAACACTCGGTGCGGTGCTTCAGGGTGGCGATTCGCAGCGGTTGGTGTCCAGACTCCTCCGTTCGCAAGGTCTTCTTTGGCAGTGACTTGGAGTCTCGCTTGCTTTGGTCTACTGCCTTGGCTGTCTATGTCGATTTGCAGCTGGGGAAGGAGATCGTGGAGTCACGTTCCCGACCTCGGGCAGTCGATCTGGGCGCCGGAGTGGGGCTGACCTGCCTGGTCTTAATGAGGACTGGGGTGAGTGAGGTCGAAGAGTTGGGTGTGGAAGCGGCCGGGACCTGGGAATGTGAATGGATTCAAGCACACCTCAGTCCAGCAGTTCTAGATTTCACTCCTGAGCACTGATGATTTGGCCGATTTGGCTCATAGTTTGGGAAACTGAACTCAGTGGTGAATTTTTGGGCCAGAGGCTTGCAGCAAACTGAGCGAAACCTGATGCATCACCAAGCACGGACACCAAGAATTACATTGGATCGGGGTTCAACTGGTTGTTCCAGACATCATCCCCAGATTGTCTCAGATTGTTTTGAGCAGTAGTTGGGCTGCTCATAGAGATTCAAAAACGCGTACGTGAGTGAAGTGACTCGTCACCGAACTGTGGAACATGCAAATTCAAACTCACCAACGAGATATGTCTACACAACAGCTATCAACAGCTATCTTCAAGTTGACAGGATGATATGATGACCATAGATGAATTCCTTTGCCCACCCGTGTTCCACCCGTGTTCCACCCGAAACACGCAGGCGTGGGGTGGACGTGGCCTGTACCGATGTGGACGACGCGGCGTTGATCTTGAGCTCCCAAAACGCGGCGGCCTTCGTCGCGGAGAGCCGGCAGAAGCTTTGGCAGCGCCCCGGACCGGTAACACGGGTGATGGGAGACCCGTGGAGACAAGAGAGAGGAGGGCTGCAGTTGGGTGACAACAACCAGAATGCATGGCAAGGAGACTTGTTTGTTTTACACAGCTGTTCTTTGGCGGTCTTTTCTTGGTTGTGGTGTCATGAATCCTACTTCTCAGTGCTCGCATCGTCATTGTGCCAACATTGGCGCCCAGATCTCTTTCGCTACCCCACATTGGCGCCAACAAAAACGCCGTCTTTGGAGCTTCCCCAGCTTGGTTTTTCTGGTAATTTTCTGCGGTCATCACTGGTCATCACCCTTATTAACCTTGTTTAATCAGACCCTACGGCCGAGAAAAAGCCCCGGCTCCTCAGATTGGTTGAGAAGATCCCATGATCTGAAACATGATGGGCTGGTCACCAGAACGTCTGGATCTCTTTTCCCCGCAGTGCATCCAGGGGTGACATGGGGAGCACGAAAAGAGTACCCGTATGGGGCGCAAGTCGTCATTTTGCCAAGGTATGGAAGCTTGAGGGTGCTGCGCTTCAACTACTCCAGCGGCAAAGACACCTGGAGAGATCAAGGCAGCCGATGTGGCGAGCGTCGTCCGGAGTTGCAGCTCTCCCGTTGTGGACAGCGGTGTTGAGCGATGGTGAGCGATGGTCCGTTGTCCGCATCAGGATCCCCAAAGTGGAGAATGTCAGAAAGGCCCGTGCCTCTCCAAATCGTCCCACAGCTCGAGCATGCTCGAACAATTCTTTACAAATGGAGCTCTTTTGGAGGTCAGATCAGATCAGACCTTTTTGCGCGAACAGGCCGCCGCCCGTCGCCAATTTCATGTGTCTTCGCTTTCGGCTCCAGGGGTGGTGCCACCTTATGATGTCGTGGTGATGGGAGCCTCGCCGCAGGCCCGCAGGCTGCTGGAGACGCTGTTTTGCTTCGGGTGAATGTGAAGGGATGTAAAATGTCAGGTCCACTCATTTAGATGATAAGACCCGAAAGGAAAGACCACGAGGAAAAAAACACGGAAGTCGCTGGACGGCCTCCTGAAGGGAGCAGACCTTGTTGCGCTCCTGAATAAAGCCGTCACCTCAAGGCACCTCCATGTACCTCAACACCTCAACCAGGGAGATATCCTTTTCTCCCACTCATATGGCCCCCAGGTACCGCCTGGAGATGCTGAGACATAAAAGACCCTCCAACTGGGCAGCGTATTTATTTTCTATAAACCGTCTATACCGTTTACATCCGTTTACTTGCCTAATGTTTCCTACAGGTTTTTTGGGGGGCATGTGGACATCCCCAAGGGTCTTTCCAAACTCACCGGACCCAGCATGGTCCCCAAGGGAGAGCTGCGGAAGAATTTGAACTTCTATGCCAAGCTCTTCCGGGAATTGGGCCATCCTGGCACCCGGGTCTTTCTTGAGGACTCGCAGAGGTGTGAAAAAGGATGTGTCACGCCCGTAGGTTCGAGACCCCCTTGAGGCACATGGTTTTTGGGGAAGCACCAGCAGAAGGACACGCTCATTGATGGCAATCACGACTTTGTTCCGAGCATGGAGGGCCCTCAAAACCTTTTGGATCAATGTCCTGTCTCCACGGCCGTTGACACATGCTGCTCAGAGTAGTTTGGGAGAACAGCTGGGAAAGAAGTAACAGCACGACACCAGGCGATTGGAAACGGGGGTTTCCGGACACAGGCAACAGGGCCGCGGTGCCGCGGAACCTCGGTGGGGTTGGCCGTTGGGGAAGGTCCTAAGGAACAGAGAACTCGCGCAGATGGCGCAGATGGCGCAGAAGAAAGGTGCCAAGGTGCTTGCGCTTCTTCGGAAAAACGTGCAATGCATATCAAGAAACTCTTCATTTGGCTAAGTTAGACTCAAACAAAACACAGTACTCACCTAAGAGAGGACCATGTTCAAATTCCACTGGTGCATCAATCTAATGCTTCGTCTTCCGGTCACTAGGGCTCATCAATGGCTCCCACTCGATAGGATTCATCCCAGGAAATCCTGACCCTCCCTCCAACAAACATGGAAGAGGACAAACCCGCAGCTCAGCTTGTAGAGGAAAATGGTCTGTCCGAGGGGCAACGTCCAATTTCATGATTGTTTCAGGGAGTGCGCTGGACTTCCAGGGGGGTAATGGATGGTGTTGGATTCGCGGCTTTCGCCAGCAGCGAAAGTGACCCAGGACCAGGGGCATCGCGAGGTCACCTGTGCCGTACCACCGGATTTGGAGGCCTCCCGCGCCTTTGCGCAGGCGCGTGACGGAAGTAAAGGCAAGGGTTTGGGCGCAGAAAGGTCCATCAAGGAGTTTCTTACACGTTTGCATCCGTGTGTTTGGTGCGAGCGCCTCGTTCATCAGCGTGCCGCGTTCCTCACTGTTTGCATACAAATTATGGTGGTGGAGTAATCAACTACGGTCCATGCGGTTGGTTTGTGGGGGTTTGGGGTGCAGTGAAAGAGTGACTACCGCGTACGCCCTGTGGAGTGCAGGCTAGCAGTGCTTTTTATGTGGGCAAGTCTTTGTATGTCCCTTGAGCCGTGAGCCTTAAGGAAGCAGAATGATTACAGCTGCACCTGCATAGAGGGAGTGTGCTAGTACAAAGTCCGAGGACAGACCCACACAACATGGCGGGCTGGAGCAATCACTTCCATGCCTGATGCTTCCGCACATGGTTTTAACGTCGATGTCTCATGCTGCCGCAGACATGGTCCAGTCTTTTGAAAGCCAGCCACCTAATTATAGGGCTTGTGCATACGAGACACATCTGATTTTTGATTTGTTGTTTTCGACTTCCAGCAATGAAGTTCAAGGATGTAGCTGTGGTCCGTGCGGTCTGTGCGTTGTTGCTTTGTGTGTGCGTGTCGTTACCACAGTTTTTCCGTGTGGATCTATCAAGGCCAGTTCAGAAGACTCACCAAGGAGCCCTCGTACAGTGCAATCGGCCACCTGTGCTGCAGACACCGCCAGTAGCCGCTGAAAGCAAACAAGGCCAAAAATACCAACATGTGTCATTGAGTGGGAATTGCCACCACTTGGCGTTTGAAATGTGATGAACATACGAACGCAACGCACTCCTACAGGTTCGCCTACTATAAACTTGCCGAGCCTTTGGCCGTTCTTGCCCCCGAGCGGCCCTTGGTTTGTTCTGCTATATGGCATGGGCCGCCAATACACCCGTCAATATGTTGGACAGCAGGGACACGCTCCGAAGCAGCGGGCATTGGTCGTTCTGGAGCTCGACATGTACTTGAAGTAGAGACCGATATGTGATCATTGTTCATCATGTGTCATTTCAGTTGGTGTCAAGACATGATAGGCATTTGAGGACTGAATTTTGCTCAGGGGGTGCGGGTTCCGACCCGCGGATTCTAACATCCCCCGAAGTTCGACCGTTCGACCCGTTCGTACCCGAACTAAACCCGTGGCGTGCGCCAAAGCGAGCAGCTTGGCGTTTTTAACCGTCATCCCCTCCTTCTAATATGCATTCAAAACTGTTCTTCACGATTTGCATGTTATACTAGAAGATGCGTTCCCTCAAAATACATGTCTAGTCAAGGGATGAATTACTTACAAAGTTGGACACCCCCCTCAACACCACACCCGTCAATTATCATTAGGACTGAATGTCACATTCGAATACATTCGGTACACCTTGCCATAGTCTAATTAGGGTGCCTTTCAAGCGTTTGATTTACATGTATTTGCATTGGTTGGCGGCGGGCGTATTGTAGACTGGACCTAAAGATGCCAAAGGGGGTGAGATTGACAGAGGGCAAGCTATGCCTCATGCATCAAAAGAAAGCAATATTCAATAGGAGGCCAGGCAGAACTGCAATGGCGGGGGGTGTTGGAGGGTTCATGCTTCAAAGGCCCATTGTTTAAAGTCCTAATTTCAAAGTCGCCGATTGGAATTTGGAGGGCTGGAAGTAGTCTTTCTGTATTACAGTGAGCTCAGTTTGGAGCGTTGTCAGCACCAAACATCACCGCAGCACGCACATTTTTGTAGACTGAGGATTTTGATGCTCATGTTGACCCATTCCATATAATTTGCGCTTTTCACTGGCTGCAATTTTCCTGTAACTGTAGTACTCGTAGTATAAGTACTCCGAGCAGTGCTTCTGGCAAGTGATATGTTTCAATTGCTTCGACTTGCTTGAAGCTTGTGAGGTGGGCTTGCACATGGTTGATATTTTTGACCCTCTTGAAAGAGGGCTTTGGCCTTTGCCTCGTGGCAGAATATATGCATTGGTTTTGCAATAAAAACGTATCATAAAATAAAGCATTATTTAAAGTTTTTGTTATGTATAATTGCAATATATTTAACTTAACTTTTTTCATAGGGGGATTTACTAATGAGATGTTAACATTGTTATATATTACATGTTATTTTGATTAGTTATAGAACAATGTTAACATCTCATTAGTAAATCCCCCCTATGAAAAAAGTTATGTTTTTTGTTTCTTCGGGGTAGTCAAAAGTCTCAACCTCAAAACAAAAAGACAACTCCATGCCCATGCCATTTGGCAGAGGGGATTTGGTACAGGGTTTTTCATTCTGCTTTCATTCTGGTAGATTCCACAAAAGAAGAAAACGACAGAAGAAGAAGATAGGAGAACTTAAAAGTAAAAGGGAAAGCACAAGGCAAGGACAAGCTAGCAGGGCGGGAGGGTGGTTGATTATTGCAGGTTGGTTTATAATTGCAGGGGGTGGGAGTCTAAAGGGGGTGGGAGTCTAAAGGGGTGGGAGTCTAAAGGGGTACCCTTTGAAGATAATGTTTTGTGTTTGTTTGATAGATTTTGAATAAGGAAACCTAACGCTTTTGGCTACCCAACATTTTTGGAAATCTGATGGGCAAAGATCAAAAAATAAAGATTCCACAAAAGAAGAGAAAGAAAGACAAAGAAGAAGATAGGAGAACTTAAAAAACAAAAGGGAAAGCACAAGGCAAATGTTTATCCATTTTGGAATCTGGATGTTGACACAATTAAACGTAATATTGAAAAATCCCGGCAGGACAAAAAGCTCAATATTATTTTAGGTCTATAATTGATTCGTCATTTTGTTTTATTCATTTTGGGCTTTGGATGTAGACGCAATTAATAATAACATTGCAAAATCTTGGCAGACTAAAAGCTTACTAGTATATCACGAAAGGTAGCCCTTTAGGGGATACCTTGAGTTTGACTTGCGAAGCAAGTGTCGGCGAGTCCGGGTCTAATAATTGATCATTCAATTCAACCCCCCCCCCCCCCGAATTTTTTTTTCAAAACAGCCCCCCCCCCCCCCTCAAAATTCAATTCTCCGCTGGAGAACGTCTTCGTGAGCCTCTCATGATTTCAGGATAGTTGAAACCCTCTTGCCCTCTTGAACATTCAGAAAGAGTGCATATGAAATTCGAACTACGAAATGTGTTCTCGTTAAAATACCATTCTCTCCTGGAGACCGTCTTCGTAAGCGTCTCTGTGTTCCCCGAAAGGATCGCAAGGTGTTACATACCTAGAGTTTATTTTCTTCTCTCCTGGGGCCTCTTAATTCAATTCTCTCCTGGAGCACGTCTTCGTGAGTCTCTCATGATTTCAGGATAGTTGCAACCCTCTTGAACATTCAGACAGAGTGCATATGAAATTCTAATCACGACAGGTGTCCCCCGAGGGGATACATACCTAGAGTTTGTTTTGTGAACCACGTCTATTCTCTTTTGGGGAACGTCTTCGTGAGTCTCTTCTGGTTTCAGAATAGTTTAAACCCTATGATGCTCCGATTCTATGCTCACCGATGATCTGAGCCATGGGGCGAGGTTGTTTCCCTAAGAACCTTTCTGAACATTTCGAGAGCATATGAGCAACGGCTTCTATTTGCGGTAGTGGTGATTGGTCTAGGGGCGTTCCTTTTCTAAAGCCCAATGTCAGAGTTAGTTGGCGAAACGAGGTAGGAACACCCCGAAAACGAGATGGGCATCAAATGCGCCATTTGTTTGCAATGGTTTGGTTAATGACATGTTTAGCTTGTGAAACGAGGTAGGAAGACCTCTCGAGAACGAGATGGGTTTCCACACACCAAAACGAAATACAGGCATGGAGACCGAGATCACACACCAAAAACGATGCGGGCTTGGAGACCGCTGCTGTGGCTCGAAGTATGCCACTCGCGTTCTCTTCTCTTCCCGCTGTCCTACCTTTCGTGTCTCCCTCCTCTCAAGTCATGGTTAATTGATGATATGTTAATATTAGTTAAAATATATTTAGTAAAAATATTTTTGATACATAATATATATATATGGAAATTTAATGATTAAATGATATATAAAATTATGAATCTTTCTGGTTTGTAATGTTTCGGTTGAAAACATATATAAATCTTTTTGGTTTGTAATGTTTCGGTTGAAAATATATATAGATGATGTATATTATGATATATTATGTTTTTTGCTTATTGTAGGAAATTATATTATATTATATTGAAATTTGTTATGAGGCGGTTTGTTTTTTGAGGATTTAGAATTTTATAATCGGAATTCGGCGATAAATTGAATATGAATTAAATTAAAAATTAATCGATTGATTGGAATATATTTTTAAATTGATTTTCTTATTGGTTAATTTTCGTTATATAATTTGTTATTTAATATTTAAATATATATAATTTTTTAAAACATATAATACTAATATTTAATATTGAATTGCAAAATATATTTAATTAATATATATTATATTTAGGAATATATCGAATTGGGCATATAAATATTTATAATAAATATATTAGATTATTATTAGGAATAACTATTGATTTGTATTTTTGTTTTATTTTTTAATATAATTATTTTGGTATATATTTATATTTTT